TAGTTACCTGAACCTACCTAGATGCTGTTAATATCTATTAGAGATGAACATAAATCTGGCTAGACAAACCCTAGTATAAGAACAATAGTCCAAAAGCAGAACAGATAATGATCCAGAGGTTCACTAAACAGTGAATTGAGGTAAAGGTGAAAACTGAAAGATAAGGAGGAAGGGTATGCTAAAAGTAACAGGAAGGGTATATAAACAGTTCCCTGAGGGAAAGTGGGGAAAATAAATAACCACTCGTAGCAGTAAGGTAGTAAAACAATACCGCATTCTAAACATCCAGCAGTCAAAAAAAAGTCAAACCTCTCTGAACTCTGGACGTTATGAAAGTCTAGTGGGTAGGCATCCCTAGCCTCTAAGCCCTATAACTCCTATAAACACCTTTGTGGGTGTTCTATGCTAGTACTGGATTTAACCCCTTAAGGACACATGACATGTCTGACATGTCATGATTCCATTTTATTCCAGAAGCTTGGTCCTTAAGGGGTTAAGGTGAAGACCCTAAAGTCCTAAGAAGCTACTTTAGTAACAAAAAATAAATAAAATAAAAAAGTAACAAAAAGTGTATTAGTGCATAGTGCTTAAGTACTCCATAAAGGAGATAAGTATGAAAACCCGACGCGCGTTTCAGCGTGACACCACGCCGTCCTCAGGGGCTAACGTGAGTGCATTGCTCAGTCATGTAAGTTTCAATAGTATTCACCTTAATCAGTCAACCATGGAACAGGTTTTCAACCATGTAAGTGGACCAATGGCAATGTAGGGGCCACGGACTAATTGCTCACTTCTAGGGAGACAGCCACGAGGACGTGTAATGCTTTCCTATGAGCGGTTTGAATGCGCACTCGGCTCTGGCCACGCAGAGGGGGAGGAGAGGTCACCAGCGCCGAGGGAGCCCGGCGCTGGATAAAGGTAAGTGGCTGAAGGAGTTTTAACCCCTTCAGCCCAGCGGGAGTGGGGCCCTGAGGGTGGGGGGGGACCAAGGACTATATAGTGCCAGGAAAACGAGTTTGTTTTCCTAGCACTCTAGAGGTCATTTAAGGACACTAAATATGGGAGCTATCTACCAAACACATACACATTTATATACACACACAATAGGTGTATGTCTGTGTGTTTATATCTGTGGTTGTGTGTGTATATATACACGCACTTAACCACATGGATACACACACAATTACACACATAAGCACAGACATACACAAACACAATCCTTTAGCAGGATTGTGATCACCGTAAATTGGCCCATTTTTGCTGAACTGATAATGGTCAAAGTGTTGAAATCCTGTGATACCAAACACTGGAGAAGTAGAATTGTTCATGTTTTTATTAATTCTTTGAGTTCCAGTGGTACCAACCTATTCCTCTGCCCTGATTTCTTTTTTTTTTTTTTTTGTGTTAAGAGTTTGAATTACTTAGGTAAGCTGTATATTCTGATTTCATTGTCCTTGCTCTTGTTTATTTTATTTGTTTTTGAGAATGAAAATAACTTTGTTTATAGAAAGGTTGTTTGTGATAATCTTTTAAAAACATTATAATAATCAAATTACTTTTAGAATGTTATAATGCTGATAATAACGTCATAGTCCTATTAATCAGTAGATTGCCTTTTCAAGTTATGATTCTGGGAACAGTGCCAGTGAGACTGAAATGCACATTTGTTGCCAATGTTTTAACACACTGATAGGTACTATTGCATCTACATTGTTTGTAAATCCAACCTTAGACACCTACGCACTGTCAGGGTTGGCTAGGTAGGCTCCTGACACACACTAGAGACAATAGACCATGGGTGCCCAAAAGGTAGATCCTCCGATGTTTTAAAACAACAGCTTCCATGATGCTTTGTCATTCTAAAGGCATTCTAAATGCACGCAAAGCAGCATGGGAGTTGTAGTTCTACAACATCTGAGGCTCTAACTTTTGGGCACCTCTGCAATGGACAATCTTCTGTACTTCCTACAAGATTACATCCCAGGCATGATTAACTTATAATATTTAAAAGCACTAAATTTGTCAATCTATAAGAACACCCCAATTTTATATTTGTAAGGAAAAGAGGAGGTGGGCATATAAAATAAAACGTCTTTAAATAATGTATCTCTTTTCTCTTTAACAGGGATTGACTTTATCTTCCAGTGTGGCTGTTATGGTCTTAATTCACTTTAAACTGATGAAAATATTCAGTTTAGTGAATAGGCCTGATGATGGGATATTATATACAGTCAGTGGTGTATTTTGAATTCATGCTGCCGTAGGCATGACGAAACTCGGGCACCCCTCTAATCTAGATTTGCCACACCCCTTCCTCTCAAAGCCACACCTCTTCCTATTTAGGGCCACACTTGGACTGACAGACACACACATACAGACACACTCACTCACTGACAGACACCCTGACATACACACACACATTCACTGACAGACACACACATACAGACACACACTCACTGATAGACACCCTGACAGACACACATACATTCACTGACAGACACCACACTAACAGACACACTCACAGACATACACTGACAGACACACACATTTACTGATAGACACAGACACTAACTCACCAGACATATACTGGCAGACATACATTCACTGACAGACACGCACACTTACTCACAGACATACACTGACAGACACACACCCATCACCTACAGACACACACACATTCACTGATAGACACACACACTTGCTAACAGACATACACTGGCAGGCACACACACACACACACACACATTTACTGACAAACACCCTGATACTGACAGATTCACACTCACAAACATTGCCTCACACACTCACAAAGTATGTATTTATTGTATTAAAGGACCACTCTAGGCACCAGCTTAATGAAGTGGTCTGGGTGCCAGGTCCAGCTAGGCTTAATCCATTCTTTTATAAACATAGCAGTTTCAGAGAAACTGCTATGTTTATGAATGGGTTAAGCCTTCCCCCAATTCCTCTAGCGGCTGTCTCATTTACAGCCGCTAGAGGCGCTTGCGTGCTTCTCATTGTGAAAATCACAGTGAGAGCACGCTTTCCTATGCGACCGGCTGAATGCGCGCGCAGCTCTTGCCACGCGTGCGCATTCAGCCGCATGGGAGGAGAAGAGGAGGATCGGAGGCGAAGAGCTCCCTGCCCAGCGCTGGAAAAAGGTAAGTTTTTCCCCCTTTCCCCCTTCCAGAGCCAGGCGGGAGGGGGACCCTGAGGGTGGGGGCACCCTCAGGGCACTATAGTGCCAGGAAAACGAGTATGTTTTCCTGGCACTATAGTGGTCCTTTAATTTAAATCCACCCAACCTCCCTACCTTTGGGAGAGCTGAAGTGGATTCTTTCCCTGGGTCCAGGGGGGCTGCTGGACTGGCTGCTGCTGCCTCCTGGGCTCTGTCCTGGGCTGTCTGCTGCTGTCTCCTGGGCTGTCTGGAAGCTGCTGGGCTCATGTGCAGCAGAGTGGATGGGCAGCTGGTCACTGCAGGCAGCGAGGGAGCTGTAATCTTCCTGCTCAGCTCCCATGCGAGTTGCTGAGTGATGCTGGGAGATGAAATTATGTCATATACCGGCTCTGGTAATATCTCTGAGCGTGCGAGGTAGCTGAGCAGGAAGAGGTCAGAGGACGGCTCCCCCTTGCCGCCTGCCTGCAATATTGACAGCCGCGCGCTTCTGGGGATCCTGAGGTTGCCAGCCGGCCAGCTTTTGGGTCCTCCATGCGCCACCATTATGGAAGGCCATAAGATCATTCCCAAACAATTTAAAGTCTAACATTCTACATTCAAGGCAGCTGCTAATCTTCCCAGTAAATGCAAAAACAACAAGAGTTACATCTCAGACTCTACAGCTCTCAGTCAGCATGTTAAATGCTAAAGTCCATGACAGTACAATTAGAAAAAGACTGAACTAGTATGGTTTGTTTTGAAAGGTTGCCAGGAGAAAGCCTATTCTCTCTAAAAATAACATGGTATATGGGTGAGGTTTGCAAAGTAGCATCTGAACAGACTTCTGGACCAAAGTGGAGATGTTTGGCCATAATGTACAGCACCATGTTTGGTGAAAACACAGCATATCAGCACCAACACCTCATACCGACTGTCAAGCACGGTGGTGGACGGGTGATGATTTGGGCTTGTTTTGCAGCAACCAGACCTGGGAACCTTGCAGTTATTGAGTTAACCATGATCTCCTCTGTATACAAAAGTATTCTAGAGTCAAATGTGAGGCCATCTGTCTGACAGCTAAAGCTTGGCCGAAATTGGGTCATGTAAGAATCTACAAAATATTGGTTGAAAAAGAAAATAATCAAGGTGTTTCAATGGCACAGTCAAAGTCCAGACCTCAACACGATTGAAGTGATGCAGCGAGAGCTCTGTGTATCCAATGGCAGCAAATCTCAATGAACTGAAGCAACGTTTCTCCACAACAGGCCCGGACTGGCCATCGGGCATACCGGGCAAATGCCCGGTGGGCAGCGATGGCCGTGGGGCCGAGGCCGGAAGGGATCTCCCTCACCGGCCCAGAGGCATGGAGATGCGGCCGCCAGCTGGGTGAGGGAGGGAGGGAGGAGGACCCGGCGGAGCTCTAACAAGCAGCTCCGCCGGTCCTCTTGCGAGATTCTGAGCGTTGCCGCGGCAACGCTCAGATCTCGCGAGAGTGAACTCTAACCTGCAGGTTAGAGTTCACTCTCACCACTGGACCACCAGGGAAGGCAGCATGGCTCCCAACCCCCCAGGCAGAACGGATCTCCACCCCCCCTCCCAGGATAAAGGTAAGAAGGGAGGGGAGGGAAATAATTTTTTTTTTTATTAGTAAAAAAAATATATTTACATTTAAATGAAAAATACATTCACTCACACACACACACAGCACCCAGACACAACACCCCCCACACACACACA